AAAAAATTATATATATATATATATATATATATATATATATATTAATTCACACACATGCATACATGTGTATATATACACACACGCTAATAGTATATAACATTAATTTACCACTGAATTGGTCTTGGAGCTAAGCATTGATTGGATTTCCATCCACGACTCCGTTGCTTCAAAGTATAAACCATCCTCTAGCTGCTTTTTGATCTTTTGAGCTAAGCTGCTCCAATATTATTATGCATTTTCATATTTTGTTAAAATATTATGATAAATATCTTATTTTATATTGTTGTCTAAAAGATATAAAATAGGGAAAAAAAAGGAAATGGGAGAAAGAATGAAATTAGACCTGTTTGATTCCTCCAAATCCTTGTCATCAAGCCTGGCCACATAGTTGAGAAGAGGTCCCCATGACAACTGCATTGATATATTTACCCAATTATACCATATTATACATAATTGCATACCGTATCATATGAATATTTTTTTTAGTTAATCGAATATCCTAAATCAAAACTCACACTAATATAGAGATTAGGATCAACCATATGATTTAGACTCTCCAAATTTGATATTCGAACTCGAAACGACGAAATGAAAGAGACGTTTCGCGTTCCCGTTTCATTGAATTATCCAATTTCATCTTACTATTAATACAAACCAGAGAAGCAAAAGATAATCTCACCACAAAATCTTCGGGGGAAATCCAACTATCTCCCAATACCACTCCTACATATACATATTCACACAAAAAAAAAAAGAGTATTACCAAAAAAATCCAAAAAATAAAAATAAAAATAAAACCCATGAAAAATATTATCTAAAAAAGGGCAGAAAAAACAAAAATCGAACCTCCGAGATGAAGAATGGGGGGATTAAGAGAATGGGTTAAGGATAGACCGAGCTTAACGGCAATCTTGCCTCCGTAAGATTCGGCCACTATGAAGAGAGGGCTTCTTCTTAGGGTTTCGTCTCTGCCCATGACCTCTTTCAGCAACGCCGTTAAGTCGTCCGCCGCCTCTCCGTCGCTTCTCACGTACAAGCCGCTCTCCTCCACGAAACTGTATCCTGCTCCCACTGGACTATCCTTTTTTATATTTATTTTAAAAAAATAATAATAACCCGAATTAAGTCACTGATTATATTTAAATAATTTTATTATTATTTAGTTTTAGATTTGGTTGGTGCAATTACCACGAACAAGAGATCGGCTTTCTTCAGCCATGTCGAATTCCTTGGCTTAAGATAAGTGTCCAATGGACCAACCTCTTGAAAATTCCCTATCCCAACCCCCGAAGCCCCCTGTTTGTTTTTCATTCAGTCATTAAATCAAGAAATTAATGTACTATGATCATTACACAAATCAATTATATATATATATATATTTATATATAGATGTATACTTACAGGTCCACCTTGGAGCCAGAGGATGACAGGCCACGGCTTCGAGGGATCTTCAACTCTATAAGGGCTTCTGTATAACCACCAGAACATGTGTGCCTCTACATATAGCAATAATCCAAATTTTGTTTTTTTTTTAATTTAATTGTAACAAAAAAAAAAGATTTTGTATCAATTGATCTGGGTGTCCATGCATAATGGAGAGGCTCACTTGGTCTAACTTCGACGTAGCCCCAAGCTTCGGACCCATCTGGGCTTCTTCCAAGAGCTTCGGGTCGTGTGGCGGTTCCTCCATTGATGCATAGCAAAACACACAGATACATCAGACATGGTTTCTTCATTCCAGATTCTGATGAACAGAGGTTTCTTTTTTGTCTTTTTGTCTTGTAAGAATAAGAGACTGGAACTTGGGAGAGAAAAAGATGTGAGAGAATCGGGACACCATGAAAATGCCCATGTGATCCTTATATATATATATCTATATATGTATACATATACATGTGTTTGCTGTGTGTGTATATATGCGTGTATGGGTGCATGTATATGTGTGTGTACTCTTGCTGTCAGATACATTGTTCATCCGTGAACAGAGCGTGTATACATACACCGGATATATATACACGTTACGGATACACAAAATAAAAAGTTGCAATTTAGCTCAAGAAATACGTATATGGAAAAGAGTGATTATTACAAAGGATTTTGTACAAAATTCAGAGATTTTTTGCCGATTTATCTTTTGCGTACCATTTTAAATATATTTTTACATTTTAGGCGCTTGAAAATTTCCGCAGATAGCCCGTTTCTACATGCATCAATTCCGCATAATTTATATATTTTTTTGGTATATCGTTAAAAAAAAAAGAAACATTACCAAAAAAGAAAAGAAATCCAATGTTTTGACTCATGTTATCGATTATCAGTTCCCCTCCACTGGTTTTGTATATATATACATATATATATATATATATATATATTGCAATTTTGGTCCACTACAATCGTCGCCAATAATTGGCAAGTACCTATAATCATGTGATGTTTTTGAATGTCTAAGATACCATAATGGATATAATAAAAATAATATAATGGCTGATAAATGCATTTTCATATTTGAACTATTTTTATCACATATTTTAATACATAAACTTTTTTATTGGATTTAATATTCCAATTTTTATAACAGTTTTTTATATTTTTCATAGTCAAATTTCTATATAACATTTTTTTATAATATAGAAGTTTATCGAATTTTTAGTTCGACTACATCTGTGAATGATCTTTTCCAGATGATGACTCGAAGACGGATTACAGAGAAGTTTTGCTCCCTTTTTTATCGATTGAAACACCCAATATTGGATAATTTTCTATATAACTTGGTTATATACTATACAAATATTAAAGCATTATTATGTTGGAAATTATAAATAATTACGTCATTTAATATTTTACCTACAATTTAGACATATATTCTTAAATTTAAATTTTCATAGTTATCACATCATTATATCATATTATATCCAACGTAATGACAATTTAGCGTCACGTTGGATATTTAGTGTATGTTAAACTCCGGAAATTTTGGGTTTTAAAATTAATATGAAGACAATCGAATATTTTAAAAAATATATAATAAAAACAGTTTAGATATTAGAATGCGTTTCTATAAATATCTCATTGTGATGTTGAAGCCTTACCGAACAATTTATCGCACTAAATTGCTTTCATATTAATTTCAGAAAAGAATTCAAACACACAATATCAATTCAATTTGTCACATGTTGGTTGTTTGGGTATTAAATACAAAATCTAATGATATAAATGTACTTTAATTTAATTTGCCAAATTATATTATAATATTATATAATATAAACATAATGGAAATGGAATATTAGGGGATTTGACGTAAGGTTGACGCAACTGGCGCACATGGTTGGACTGGTTGGTTCAGTATTGCGTCACTTTCTCAAAGAAGAAAATGATAATACTATAATTAACCTTTTTTTTATCAAAAAACAATATTCAGAAGAAAAAAAAGTACATCTGAAATATCATTTTATTTTTTTTATTTTTTATTATCAATATATAATTCCATACCGTTCAAGAGAGATTTTAGCGATTAAAAAGGTTATCCAAAAATAATGAATGTTCGATTTTTATGCAAGTCAAATAGCCACGTTATTACTATATCCAAAAATTATTTTCTTATTTGACATATATATATATATACAGTATATATATATACAGTATATATATATAGTGTTTTCTCATATTTCTGGATAAGGAGTTGTTTTCTAGGGGAAAAAAAGAAGTTAATGTGTTGTATATACTGTAAGACAAACAGATTCAAGATGGATTTTAATTATGAAATACTTATTTTTTAAAATTAATTACAAATATTTAATCTGTGAGTTGTATCTTCCTGCGACTAGCTGATCACTCAATAATAATAATAATAAATAAATAAATAAATAAATACAGTATATATGTTCTCGTAATATTTTCCAAGGATAAGATACAAAACTGCAAAACAATGTAATATCAAGAAAAATATAAAATACAATAGTTCTAATATAAAATAAATTTTACAACGGGTTTTGGATAAAAATACGGAACATTTCGAAGAGGAACTTTTTTTTTGGGTAAAAAAAAGAGGAATTTTTAAGTGCAAAAGAATATAATTTTTTTCTCTATTGGAAATTTGGAATCTACTTTATTTATAATCAGAGATTTTCATTTCGCGATAGAATTCATCCATTTATGAATTGATACATATACATAATACATATATGTATGTACGATTGTTTGATGAGATGTTTCATGTGGAACACGTTGGAACATTGATCGCCTTAACGAGATATCATATTGGGCCTCGTTTAAGGCCCATTAAAGAACACGTGTTTAAATAACTAAAGTTACGATTGTCTTTTGTCGTTACATGAGAGGGGCCTGACGTTAAGATGCCTTTGTTTTAGTGTCTAATATACTTCCACTATTATTAGTTCTTCAAAACTATTTTTAAAAATTATTCTAAGGATTCGCTAAGAAATCTTTAAAAATGTAGTTTGATTCCATCGTTTTTTAAAAATAAAATAGAGTAAAAAAAATATCTTCAAATCATATTTTTTCAAAATATAATATTTGATTTCGTTTTGGCCTAGAATTAAGAAATCGGTGTATGGTTTAAATTATCGAATTTTATTAATTAATTCATCATGACACTAGAAATATCTTACCACAAGATTAGGATGTGTTTGGATGGATTACTTTATTTACTATGGCTTAGTTTTCTCTATTTTTTAAAATTAATTTTACTTTCAGACAATTGGTTATAAGATATTATTTATGGATAATGATCATAATTGAAAGGATTCTAATTTTTTATCCCTGATCTCTCTTATATAAATATTTTTCTAAAAATATTTAAGCAATAATTTTAAATTATTAAAATTTAAACCCAACATTAAAATAAATATAGTTTTAATTAAATAATTTTGGTTTATACAACTAAAAACATTATTGATAGAGCCATTTGTCGCCATTTTACACGTTCTAATTCTATGTATTATTCTCTGACCTCTCTATAATGAAAGTATATTAGTGGGGCCTCAGAATATTCAATTTAATACTTCATTTCTTTACATAATTTCTGCATATTTCTTTTTTTTTGTAAAGGGTAATTATATTACTAAATAAAAGTATTTACAAACTTCTGCATATTTCTTTTGGAAAAATTAAATAAAAACCTAAATTATATTCACCTGTGGGGTATTCCATCTCTAAATTTCCCTTTCCGGTACGATGATTCCGGTTACTGTAATACCCGCACGGAATTGAAATCTCTACAAATTTCAGAATTTAGACCGGTTAACGCTTTGACATATTTGTAATCCGTACCAAAATGCTAAGTTCTAACCAATGCTGTTATTTTGTTTTGATTACTCCAAAGTAAATTATGATATAATCTGAATCTTTCATTTATAATTTCGATTTGAAAATTACCCTAATTGGTGCAGGTCTCTTCTCGAAGAATCAAATAAAAGTCTAAACCGATCTAGAACCGGATCAACCGGAAATAAAACCGGTCTGGGAGAACAAACAGTCAAACAATATACCATTGGCATGGGCCACATATGACGTGGCGAAGTCTTTACTGGATGGGAGCATGGGGCGCGAAGCAGAGGATAAGTGCAAAGGGAGTGAGTGGAAAAGTGGACATCAATTATGAAATATAATTTTCAAAGTGTTGGGAATGGTATCCTATGCTAAGTATTTTGTACGTATTTAGACAAAACCATAGAAGAATGACGTGGCATGGGAGACACATTTGGATAAGCCCCTCCTTATAATATGTATTTTCCAAACATAATAATTCATTTTCCATCATTAATTTCATATCCTAAAAATCATTACATATATATACATACACTTTGTATAAAATATAACAAAAATGGATTATGTGGTCAAACGGCGAAACTTTACCAAATCTAGTAAATATGAATTTATTTTCTTGTAACTACAAATAAAATGCTTCCTTTTTGCTTATATGGTAGGTTGAAAAGTTGGGCAGTTGAAAAGTTTTTCACTTTTATTTCCCAAATATATTATCCTTTGATTCATCAAAAAACGTGAATAAAAATGGTGGTAATTGAAAACATCAAGGAAAAGCATAAAATTACAAAAAAAAAAAAGAGTTATTATCAGTGCTTAATAATTAAAAAAAATATTGAATTCTGAGTGACTATCCAATATACTAATATTGAAAGCAAATCATATAAAAATGTAAATGCATGCACACCTTACAAAAAAAAATACAGACACTCTCTTTCTCTCTCTCATAAATTCCTTAACAAATTAATTCTGCCCTTTAATTTAATTTTATTTTTTTATAAATTCTGCCTTTAAAGTTAAAACCCACGAAACTTTCACATTCCGGTATTGACCACACCCATGCCATGTCTAAAGATCTCGAGACCCAAGAAGCACAACCACTACAAGAACAAGAACAAGAACCAGAGCTACTACAAACCCCCTCAAGCCAAGAAGAAGAAGAATATCGCCATGAGACCGAGACATCGA